ATGGTTCATGGGGTCACAAAGAGTCGGACACGACTTAACGACTAAACAACAACAACAATCTTTCTGCTATTTATTTCCTAAAATTTATCTCTGTGGGTTTGTGGAAAGATGAGATAAGATGAAATATTCTTATGTCAAATATCTTTAGCAACATATGCATTCCTGAGATACACTGATATAGGTAAAATCAGGCTTCTAGATATCTGGAATCTCTGTGCAGTGTTTTCTTCTAGAGTTTTCTTTCCAATTCTGGAAGTCTACTTTTTAAAAAAGCACATAAATAATTTATGACTTTACTACCTTACATCTATCAAAATTTTGCTGTCACTTTCTTCACAGAAGGCTTTTCAGCATTTCATTTTTCCTATATGACCAAATGCTTTTTTCCTTTGGAGATTTTCTGTGTTTAACTCACTAATATTCTCATGCAAATGAAGCTAGACAGGTGGTGCTTTCTCTGTCACACAATTATTTGTCAATGTCTTTAAATGATTATTATCTTTCTTTTATGGGTCACATATATGAGGAAAATGGGTTGGGGGGAGAAAAAGGTGAACTTAAGCATCCTTACAAAATTCTTATAAGAATTTTCTCTATTAGGGAGGAGGCTGAATCCAGTTTTCTTGGCAACAATACAGAAATCATTTGCCCTTGTCTTCTTCCAGAATGTTTTTTCAACTTTTTTCCACAGTCTCTTTTTCCACAGTCTCTAACTGCTTTTCCCAACTTGATGCCTTCACAGATGTATTGTACTACAACTCCCATTGCCCCCACCAAAATGATCATTATAGACAGTTATACTTTTTAAGTGCCCATGATCATTATGCTCTTTAACTATGAGCAAGGGACTTGGCCATACAATTATGAGTTATTATAGCTCTGCACATCTATCTTGTGACTTGCAGCAAAATCAGATGTAAAGGAATAAAACTATATTTCCTGCATAGAAAACATGCTCTTTTTGACAGGGCTGTATTTTACTTTTCTAGGAATATGTGATGGAAATGAACTTCAAACAATGGATAGTTGATTATGTGAACCAGTCACTACTACAGTTGACACCTTGTGATGTTGAAAGCAAGCGTTATGAGAGGACGTCATTTGCAGAATGTCTTGGGGAAATGAATGTGAATTGGCATCATTTGCAAGGGACTCTGAATGGAAAGGTTTGAATGTCCTTTAAAACATTTTGCAGAGAGTGTGAGTCAAATCCAGCTGTGCCTAGTGGAAGATCCATCCATCACAGCTTCTTCCCTCCCTCCTCTGTTCTGCAGAGAACTCTTCAGAATAGTGAGGGGGGCTATCTGGAAAGGCTGCAGTTGGAGGAGGGGTAGGCAGAAATCAAGCAGAGGTGTCCATGCAAGTTGTCTCCACCCAATTTGTGATTTGCCTACATTCACTGCAGTTCACTGGACAGAAGCCTATCTTGATGGCCTTCCTGTCCCATCTGTAAGGTCTGATGCTTGTTCAGATCTGGATCAAGGATTAGCAAGCAAACAAAGATTCTCCAGGCAGCTCTAAAGCCAGCAGGAACAAAAGCAAACATGGATTTAGTTCTCATCCAGCTTCCCTAATCCACAGACCTTAGTAAGCCTGCCTTACACCTTGTTTGGTTTGTGCTGCCCCACTGTCACAGTACCCAAACAAGGGATAGGAATCATATGATGACAATGCAGTCATGTTCTCTCTACACTCCCAATTTAGTAGATTCATTCCAAAAGCAAGTTGCTATCTGGTTGTGCTCTTAAGCTTTCTTCTGCTATATTTGAGTCCAGAAACTCTCCTACAATAATAAGTTAAAATGTGAGGCATTTTGTAGAAAATGGGGAAATATTTTTTCTTATGTGGTTATCACCATAAACTAGAAATTTCAAAATGTGTTTCTTTCCTAAATTATGCAAATAATTATGGATTGTCCTCTATGCAGATAAAGGAGTTGGAGCACATTTTGGAATCTGTTGTTGAAAATGAAAATAAAGCACAGTCCTTGGGCAGCTGGCTAGAAGCACAAAGCAGAAGGCTAAAACGTATGAAGAACCCAAGAAGTTCTATTCTTGCACAGGACACAGTAAAAGACTGCAAGGTAAATGTTCATTATTTGATTACACTTGAAATGTCAAGTTCATTTTGTTGATTACTTTTGACATTTTAATCCTATCTTTCTTCCTAGATGTTCAGGACAGTATATGTGAATTTATCCTTGAAATTCAAAAATAACACAATAATTGTCCACAATCCAATAATAAACCCAATCCACTAAATTTTGACCTAATACAAAAAGGTCATAATGGAAAACAAGGAAAGGAGGGAAATAAACATCTGCTCATAAAGATGGATCTATGGAATGGTCCCCGAGGGAGACAGTCCTGGGGAGAAAAAAACTTAAAAAAATATATTGGTCCTAGAACTGCCTATCGAAAGGGTCTGCCCTGTTTTTCTCTCTGTTATAGCTGTAATTGCCCTTCTGGATGGCATATGCCAGGGAAAGGATGCAGGGAATGGACCTTTTTTCACCTGGGCCTTTCAGCGGCTTCCAGTAGAAGTAACTGGAGTCTCCTTTTGGCTCAAATGGAACTGGAGGGCCCAGATTATTTGATCCTTCCTTGGAAAAAGTTCTGGGAGACTTCTGTTCCATTTCATAGGCTTTGATTCCTGGATGATGCAGAATTCCATCTTGTTCCACGTGTTCTTTAAGCTCCTGAGAGGAATTATGCAGAGGTTTGGACAGAAGAATCAGTATGCTGCTAATACACCACTCTGTTTCACATTTGCATCTAAGAAAGTAAGGAGATTAAAAAAAAAGCCCTACTGGATCAGTTCAGCAAAGACCAGTTCAGTGTTTCACATTCTGGCTAATCAGAAGCATATGCGAAATTCCCAAGTCCACATAACTGTTCCTACTACTGGATATATTCTATAATCTCTAGGAATAGTAGCTATTGACCACCATACCCTTAGTGAATTTGTTTTGTCCTCATTTAAGGTGGTGGCTATCACATCATTCTAGTCCAGTACCTTATCAAGTGAACTAAGTTGGCTTTCTCTGAGCAGAGCTGAATAGTCACTGGCTCATTGAACAAACCATTGAAACTTTCTCTGAGCAGGACCTGGAGTAGAATTCTTCTGATCCTAATACATCTAGAGAATGGCATGCTGGGGAAGGTTTTTTTATTCTCAAAATAATAATGGAAAATCACATTTGCTATGTCTTTCTTGACTCCTTCCTCTTACAAGGTGCAACTTTTGTTTTTTGCTTTTTTGCTATGGTTACCCCATTCCTCCACTATACACAAGCTGAAAAGTAACAGTAATTTTGCTATTTATTCTCTGCAATGTTTTATTGAGCTCTGGAGTATCGTCATTTTTCTAACTGAGAGATGGAGATTCATTCCAGCTAACCAGTAAGAAGCTTTGTAAATAAATAAGGGACAGATTGAAACTCTCCTAGTGAGCAGGTACACACACCAGGGGATAGAAGAAGGGAAACTGAGAAGTTAAATAAAACCAGGAAGAATTTTTCAAGATTTTAGAAGAAAACTTTAAAAATGAACAAGAGATGTTTCCCCACCTCCAATCTTAGCCACATTTTATAAATAAGTATACAGTGTATACTTTAATAGTTTATATTGAAAAAGTAAGATCATGGCCTATGTCAATTACTTAATTTGATTTTGTACCTAATTTACATAAAATATACTGCTGCTTCTGATTAGGAGGGACAAAAGTCATGCAAACATACTTCTAATATTATTCTTTGCTAATAAAATTGTGCACACAGCTTCTCTAACTTGGATTTCCTAATGCCAGATGAACTCAGACGGTGTCTAATCTTTGCAGATGCTTAGATGAATTGTGGCTGTTCTTGCCTGATTATTGTTTTCTTTCCTTCATACATGTATAGCTCATCTTTTATGCAAGTAGAAAAAGGCATATCTGCATTTTCACTTATTTTACCTTCATCACTACCCTATGGGATTAATTAGGCTAAGAAACTATGGGAGGGGAGAGCCTTATGTACACCACCTTGAGCTCCTCAACAAAAGGCAGGGTATTAAAAGAGGTTTGTTGTTCTGAGCAAAAATTGGAGGATGCACTATGTGTATTCCCATAAGAGAGATCCAGTACTTGTGTAATAAACTCACATTTTTTACTAAGTATATTTTTCCAAGGATATGAGGCTTTAAGATAGATATGTATTGACTTTCTCAGGGAGGGAAGCAGAATAGCAAAAGCAAATTGAAGTGACAAGAGAAGGTATTCTAGGTCATATTGAGAGACTACACAGTAGCAAATCACCAGGTCTTGATGACATCCACCTGAGAACTTAAAAGAATTCAAATATAAAATTACTGAACATAGCGATTTCTGGTGGGGGACAACGGCAGCTTAGTCACCTCTCCGCGAGAGGGGAGACATCACTGCAGCTGGATTGGTGGCTGGTAGCAAGCGCTGGTCACTCAACTTGCTCCGGATTAAGGAGGCAGTAAGGAAATTGACCCACACGGTCTCCAGATGCCCATTTCTCGAATGCTAATCACAAGACAGTACCTTCAGTGAGCAGCTTTTGAGTCGAGTGGCCAGGAGGCGGGGGATCCATCTTTGTTTGAAGATGCAGTGCAGCCCTTTATGGACAGTCGAGCCGACCGAACCTCATTTCTAAACATTGTGGATCGTAACTATTTTTTAATTTAAGAGAGATCTTCCTTTGCAACAGATACGTAATTCTCTTGGGGCTTATTCTTATTTTGTGACTATATTTTTGAAAGAAGAAATAGAACTTTAATTTACATTTGACTAATCCACAAAAAGCAGGAGGAAAATTGGAATTTAAAAGAAGCTTAAAAGTTACTTATTATGAAAAGGGAAAATTTATTTGTTAGAAGTTTATTTTTCTACAAAACTCCATTTGTAGTAATGAGACTTGCCTTTTCTATGGAAAAGTTTCTTGTTTTGCTAGACGGTGCCTGTTAACTGGCTGAGTTCTTAAAACAGAAGAAGATTGTAATCTGATCCTTATGTGTTTCCTGTGATGTGTGCCTGCAATTTCAGCTTGAAAGGCACCAGAGGGCATGAACTGTCTGCCTACTTTCACTTAAATAAGACCTACAGTTGCTTGCTTTGGCGAAAAAAATAATAAGAAAATGGCTAGAAGAGGTTCCTTGGAGTAGCCTTTAGAAGATAAAACCGCTCCCTTAAGTTATGATGATTAAAGAGGACATACAAATAATAGAAAAGTAACTTGGAAAGACTTTTTATCTTGAATTTGCAAAACCATTGTGTTGAACTGGTGAGGCTGTTCCTGGGAAGAGACAAAGAGAAACTACTGGGGTTGTTTTGGGGAGAAGATAAGGAGAGAATGATGGAGAATCAACCTATGGCACATTATTTGAAAAGATTAAAGATTAAGCTTTTTAAAAGTAAACAGGTTTACAAAGTGAACATATTTGATTATGGTTAATATATATGTTGACGTTTTTTGGTAGTTATTAATGGGGAAAAAAAATTTTTGATCAGGACTGAATGGCGAGGTTTAAAGTTAAAGGATTAAAGTTAAAAAAATATTTGTTATTAAATTTAAGGATTTTTTGTTTTTATATATGATAACAGCAGCAATGTTCTTATAGGTATAAGGGTAGAAAGATATGACATTATGGAGTTGGTTGAGATGGCAAAATTGATGGCTTTGATTCGAGAAAGGATATTGTGTAATTTTAATGCAAATTGGAAACCTTTTTTGGGGGGGGGACTTTTTGCAGGAAACAGAAAAAAATGAAATTATGTTGTATGGATTTGATGATTAGAAA